GCCTCCATTGTTCGCCTGATCGGCACGGCGCAGCCTCTCCCCGGTTCCGCTCGCGCTCGCCCCGGACCTCCCTACATCGTCGTCGTCGTCAGGGGGCCCGCGTCGTCCTCCCGACACCCGGTTGGGGGGTCCTCGATCAACCTGATGCGGGCCAACACCGATTAAACATCGCTGCTTCGTCGAATCTCCGTCAACGGGACTCCACGGCTCTCCCTCTCGCCACCCCCCCCCCCTCGCCGCTGTTGTCCGACCCGCTCCTCTACCTGCCCCCTTCGTCCCGGCCTCCTGCCTCCTGCTTCTTTTGTGCTACCTCTCGATCGCTCTCTTACCTCTCCCTCTGCTTTTGTCTCTGCATGTTCGCCCTCTCTTCGTGTCCTGCCCGTCGTCTTCGTCGTCGTCTTCTTCTTCTTCTTCTTCTTCTTCTTCTTCTTCTTCCTACCATCGGCGGCGCGTCCATTATGCTCCAGGTGCGGTTCCATCGCGGCGGAGGGTACGGGACAAGGTACGCGCCGAGTTACGACCGCGCGAGAGGGGATGTGGATTAGAGAGCACGAAAATATACGCAGAATTGTGACGAATATGCGGAAAGGAGAATTTTTTGCTGTTGCACATTGATGACGGCAAAAGTTGACGACTAATTTTCCAGATTGCTTGCTTTATTAAAATCTAATTCATCATAAATCCTCTTCATTCTTTTGTGTTAACGTTTGTAGTGATACAAAGATACATCTTTTTATTTTTTTTTTATTATTATTTAATTGTTTTGCAGCGTAAGTTTTATGCCTTTATGAACATATTTTTTTGTCTGCTTAAGTTTTTTTTTTTTCAAACGATGTATTATCTTTCCGTAATCGTTTACGAATCGTAACTCGATAACTGCAGACTCGAGGATCGTCGACGTTATATTTGTCTCACTCAACATATCATCGAGAACTGCGTCTCTACTTTGGGTGATATCGAGCTAACGAAAGCCATATATATTTGATTTAGCCTTCTTAAATAATTGCTCCAGAAGTTGCTCCGCGATGAATTCCAATTCGACACATCGTCAAGACGTTTGCCGTCATAATTTAGATCCTATCATGTATCTTATCGCGTCTGTACTGTGTTATTTATACCGAACTTTGACGAGAAGTGCTATTTCGGGCGCTATCATCCGACCGAAATAGTTATCGGATCGCTGTTATGAGATTAGACGGGACACAACATTGCGTCACGCGCGCGGACGTGCGGGTGCGGTTTCGATGGCCGATTTCCGGCGCGGTCCCCGATCGAGAAACTCTGCGAGACAATGGACCGTTCGTTCGCGGGAGACAAATGGTCCGGCAGTGTAATGGCACAAGTAAGAAAAAAAAAGAAGGAACGCAAGCTCGAAGCGAGCGGAAGCTCCCCCGCGACGCGCAAACGATCGTGATTATTACCCATGAAAGATAATGCTGGCCCAGACATCTGATGGTCGCTCGATCGAGCCGGACTTCCGGTCGCGTTTTCCTCCCAACGCTCGCTACAATACGCTCCGATCTAATTCCCCAAAAGCTTTACTAAAGCTTAGCAGGACCTGAAGAATTCAGCGCCGCGGCAATCAATTTTCCTTAACAGCTTGAAGAGTCGAGTTTGTCTCAAACGAATCTCCTCAAATCCTCAAAAAAGGCGCACCGCGTGAACTTGTTACATCGCGCTCTTTAACGCAGTGGAACGTCATTGAAGAAGTTGAGCGATGCTCCCGATTGACGCAAACAGTCTCGCGTGCAAGGCCGATTGACAATAAGAAGACGACGTCGTCTGGCTCAGGGAGGCCAGATGTCGCGTAAGGATTCAGGACCCGTCGGTCCATTCACGGCAGCTCCCGCGGCAAGCGCACCTTGCTCGGAACAACGTCGACCTCCTGGACTAAGGAAATCCGATACACCGATGTCGGGATGTACCGGCTACCCTACTCATCCATATTCTCGGCTCGTTCCAATTCCATTAAACAACTGGCAAGCTCCGCCAAGCTGGCCCTTGTTTGTCGCGAGCGTTGTGAACGTCGTAATTCCTTGTCCGTCGATTGCGTCGACCGGATGCCTTCGACAGCGGTTTTGTACGCGCAGTCGACGAGACGTTTTGTCACCGAAACATTTTTTTTCTTTTTTTTCTCTCTCTGTATTTCGCTGATTTCGCTTTTAAGCTTCTCAGCAAACTTCATTTCTCACATTCTTCAGAATCAGTATTTTTTTGTATGTCTTTTATTCGCATTAATAAATTTGAATATTGAAATTAATGGAAAAATATCGCCGTTGGGAAAAAATGCTCTAAAGCGATCGCGATTGTACGATTATTTTTTATTCGTTTTCGCATAACCGGAGCCGCGTTGAGTTAATACGCCGCCGATGTAAAGTGTTTTACACCGATTCGAGTCACGACTCTTCTGACGCTGCTCGAAGGCCTTCATGTCAGCGTTTAATTCGTCGTACGGCTGCGTTACTGTGTCGGCCAAATCTTCGCATCTGCGTTAAAAAAGAAATGATACACTTATCGATAAATCACTCTGCTAACTAATCGTACTGGATTGTTTTATGCACGAGACAGAGTTTGCATCTGTTATCAGCCGCGAGAGCGGTTTTATCCAAGCCGAGATGCTGAAAGACTTTTAATCCTTTCCGCCACATGTTCTTCTCCTTCATCATTTCCTCCGGGCTGGATACCGGCGATTCCGGTTTCGGCGGCGAATCATACTTTAATGTGCCTTGACATAAAAACTTGATTTTTATTAATTTGTGACAATTATGCTTCTATTCAATTTTATATATTAAATATAAAGTCTTTTAAATATTTAAATACAACAAAGATGCAATAAAAACTCAATATATAATACAATTAATTAGACATTAATATTTAATAAATAACAGAAAAAATTTATACGCTAGTAAAGTACAAACTCCTTATTTATATGTTTTGTCATAAAATACCTTTATGCGGCAATAAATCATTCTGAGCGTCCAAGAACTTCCAAAACGCCTTCGCCTTTTCCTGTTTACTTAGACTGTTCTCTCTAACGAACACCAATTCCATACAAGCTTTTTCATCTCTCGAATTCATCCCAAAATCTCATGAAAAGCACGCACAACTAGTTCTTTGACATTATCGTCGCTCGTGGAGTCGCAGTCATATGCATGTAAATTGGTATCTGGTGAAATCGAGTATCGATTTAGTTACATCGCTGCTCGGTAAAGGCTGCGCTATTATTATAATAATTGCCGACACCGCCGAGGAGGTTTATAATTATTATAATTAATGTTACGCATCTGTATGTGCTGGCGCGAGAAAGGATATAACGATAAATACTTTGCGAAATTGTATTTTTAATTCGAATTGAAATTGGCCAGACATTCGCGAAAATCCGTACGAAGACCCATTGCGCAGAAGAGGAAAACGCGCGACGAGCACAGCTCACGGCTACATCTAAATTTGAAATTTAGTATATACGCAAATATCTCCTTCGTGCTCCCGTGCGTTCGTTTGTTGACACGCTTACTCAATGACAAAATGAGTACGAAACGTTTTGGATCATATTAACGATATCGCCAGTTCGCTGCTGCCGGCGTTACCGTATCATTCGCTTCAACCGAAAGTAAGAAACATTTAGCATATTTTTTATATTGTTACAAATTCTCTATTTTCTAATTTAGATTTCTAATTTAGATTCTAACCTAGATTTTTACATGGGAACATTTGAAGAAAGAAATCGCCCAACTTTCGGAAAAAACTACAGCTTTTGTGTGTATGTGTGTGTGTGTGTGACGCAAGATGAATAAATGTAGAACACATTGGAATAAGAATAATATTACCGAGTATACATTGAGTCCAATTGAAGAACAAGAAGCAACTACATTTTATCAGACTGAAGATAGTGCTATTCCGAATGCATTAATATCAACGAATGAACAAAAAGCAGCCACATCTTCTTCGAGTGAAAGTATCATTATTCTAAATACACCAAAACCAACTAATGAAGCAGAGGCTAATGAACAAGAAGCAGCTACATATCATTGCAGTGGAGATAATATTTTTCAGAATGCAGCTTTTTTAGATTCAAGTAATGAACAAGAATCGTGCATATTTCATTGGATTGTAGAGAGTGAATATAGAATTGTTGAGAGTGCATTAAAATCAATTAATAGACAAAAAACAACCACATTCTCTCAGAATGAAAGTAGTATTATTCAGAATACACCAACTAATAAACAAGGAATAGCTACAGCTCATTATAGTGCAGTTAATATTATTCAGAATGCGTTAAAGTCAGTTAACGAACAAAAAGCAGTCAAACCTCTATCATCCTCTCAGTTGAAGCGTTTCGATAAAGCTAATTCGACAATTGACAACAAGGAAAATGAATCAACTTCTTCGAGCATAATGGAATTAACTTGTATGTTTCCCAAATCTAATATCAATTCGAACACGGCCAATCGTAACACGTACGTATTATTATCATCACAAGTCACAAATTTTTTTGCAAATCGTGAATTACATGCTCGATAATCTTTATTTGCAGAAACGATAGTGAAAACTTACAAAATGACTCAATATTTGCTTTAAATCCTCTTAAACGAAGCAAAGCGCTGGCAAATTTTAAAGATGTTGATGACTCCGCAGTACCATATGTTTTGCAAAAGTAAGTAAAAATATCTCAAATAAGATATATAACCAGATTTAATAATTGAACATTCGAATAGTGTTGGACATTAAATTTTTTTGTTTTGTAGGGAACAGAAGCGAGAAGATAAAAAGACAAATGATTGATTTGAAAAATAACACTAAAGTACTGCTGAACACCGATTTTTATATTGTCGGCATTGTATTGCTGATTGTCTATGGCTGTTTGGTTAAAAATTAGCACTTAATTTTAATATATTTAACAATTATTTGGGTAAGACATGAAAAATCTACTTTTTGGTGTATTAAGATGGACACTCATTTCTATATCAAATTGCAGATTTTGTTTAAGATAATATATTATGAATTTGTTATATTTATATTTGTTATATTTATATCAGTCTGTTAAGTTTTATATATATATATATATATATATATATATATATATATGTATATATATTACACAAATATACACATGTGTATATGTATATATATATAGATATAGATATAGATATAGATATAATTTTTTTATAATATAATATCACGTAAACTAAAATAAAATGTGCTATTTGATGTCAACGATTTACAATAATTTATGATACAAATTTATTAATATTTTAATAAAGCGTAAGAACTCTAATCTGCCAAGAGATTTCTAATTATGTATTGGCATGTAATATTTTTTGTTCTACATGTAGCTATTAAATTTTTACAAATAAAAACTGCTGCTGCTTATTTTGAAGAGTAGATTTAAAATAAAACATTCATATTAATAATGCTACACATTAGTCAATGTTTTAAAAAGGTTATACATATTCAATTTTGTTAATGATTTCTCGATACTGCTTCCATGCCATGTCGCGTATACTATGATTGGTTTTTGTATTGCTGACTAATTGTAAGTTGTAAGATACATAAGAGAATCATACTTATGTAATATCTGTAATATTAATACAATAAAGTATTCTTGACGTCTTTGATATTTAAAATGTTACATATTTTTGTAACCATTCTGATACCTAATATATTAAAATAATTTGAGAGTTCTTTATATTTTTCTATCTTTTAAATAAAAATGTGTGCATTGCGATTGCCGCGCCCATGAACAAGTACTATTTTGTTGACCGACTATAGGTACCATCAAAGTGTTACTGATTGTAGATAAACAATTGCAGTTTGTAATTAGTAATTGGCACTAGGAGCCGCCGAGCGGCGAGGCGCTAGTGCACGCAGTCAGTGAAGCTCTCAAGATGGCCGTCACGTACATCTGATCGGAGGTGTGTGCGAAATTTGACGCCGATTCGACGCGATAAACTTTAGCCATGCACGTCGTGTCGCTGGCATAGTGATCGCAGAGGCAAACCGGGCTCGGTATCGATGTGGACCATCCTGGGCGCCGTCGTCGATGGTTGTTCCTCGCGGCCACCGGCGGCTCGCATTGAACCATGTTCAGCAAGAAGCTCCATGTAGATGTCAAAAAGTCAACGCTCAAGATCCAGGATGTCAAGAAGGACAGCGCGACGCGGTTCAAGCATCTCAAAATCGTACTAGGTAAGGACACGATGCTTTGCCTCGGTTGATAGATAACGGCTGGTCAGTGGTAAATTTGAGAAAGGATGATGTGACCTAAGGAGGTAGCACACTTTTGATAGTTGCTTACACCCACACATTGAGGGAAACTCCTTAAAGTGGAATGTAATGATGTTTCCTCTGTTGAGAGATGCTGACACTTGTTTGCATCTTATTTTCGCTTTGAAGAATCCTGTTCTGCTTTTTTGAGAAGTGATGTTTTACATATATTTTTTATATACTTATTTGAATCTCACAGAAGAGTACAAAATAATTCTTTTATTGCTAAAAAAGTTATAGTTTATTGAAAAAAATTTATTTATTTTTGGAGACTTGCAATAACATTGACAATTGTTGACATTATTGAAGGGATAAAAACTTTTTGGAGTAATTATTAAATAACATCGTTAAAAGAATTTTATAAGAATATATTTTATGAGAATTATATATATTAGTGAAGAGAAAAGCATTATTGCAATAATTAGTGCCGTGAAATATTTAAATTATATACCTATTTTTCATGTTTTATTTCACATTTTAACAATTTCTATGCGTGTTTACTGTGAAAACAGAATGTCTTACATTATTTGTTTATAATTAAAAGAAAGAAAGATTTAAATCCAAGCAGTCATAAGACATTGTGGTTTTCTAGTATTATGAGACATAGTCAATAATCTAATCATCAAACCGCATAACCACATTGACCAACTTGTGACCTTTATCTCCATCTAAAATTACATTATTATCTGTTTCACGTATCTCTCTATGTAGATATCATTAATAAAAATTGTCTAACTCTTTAAATGTTTCACATATATGCTTATGTGTTATATCACATAAATTACAGTATTTGTATAAATATCTTAACATACAAAAATATTTCCATTCTATTATCTCTTCTGTTTCATTTTTAGAATTCTGAAACGTTGTAGAATGTAAATGTTGCATTTTTTTCTGTCTCTTATAATATATATAAGGAAAAGGAAAACAAGTTCTATATAAGTATAGGTATTCAAGGCCTGTTATGATGCAACAGAATTTCCACAGTTCTCTATATAAGGTATATGTGTCAAAAGAAGAAAGTTTCTTTTTATCCGACAGGATTAGTGTCGGATAATGTCTTTGAATATTACATATTTTGTACAAAAAACACATGTATAGCGTACGTGTATTTTTATGTTTAAGAAAACGTGGATACTGATGAGGCAAAGGGCTTTTTCGAGGGCAACTTCAGCCATGTTTACTTCATCTTGTATGATTGTTTCGTGTCTGCGGAAGCGAATCTTCGACAACGCGGTAAGTTGAAAATGAAATTGAATATAAAAAAAGAAATTAAAATTACTAAAATGTAAAGTGCTGAATAAAGCTAACTATCTTACTGCTTTGAATATTACTAAGACCTCCATGCTTAAATATTAATTATACCATTAATAGCATAATGCCGTTGCTTTTAAGATTATAACAATTTTTTTTTATTAATCATGATATTCATACATTATGACTATATTATCATGTCTTTCATTTCTTTTCATTCTGCTGCAGAGCTTTCCTTCCATATTGGTAAGTCACATTATATTATCCTAGCTTGATTTTATTACACTCAATTACTTCTTGCACTTACTAACTTTCTTGGGTCACAATTAATTGCACAAATATTACTCTCGCGTTTAATATTTTGTTACAAATCGTCTCACAATTTAAAAGCGGGAAGATATCAATTGAATTTTTCTTTATAGTGCACAAGGCGCACAGGGAAGAGTTAGAACAAGTATTGCAGCTCTTGGAGAAAGTTTTAACTCTTCTTCCTGAGCTGCTTAACAGACGATGGCAATGTCACAGTCTAGCGCGGATTTTGCAGAAGCTCTTGCATCCTGGTAACAGTTGGAAACTTCGCAGGCAAGCCATAAGGTGTGTGCATAGTGATCGATAAGCCTCTTACATTTATCTAGAGCACAGTATACATAATGCAACATATTCTTCTAGGTACTTTATTTTGTGGTATCAAGCTCTTGGCGAAAATGCTCCCGAACACATACATCAGATGTTCGCCAGCTTGGTGCCGGGATTTCCACCGCACCAGGTGTCGCCTTACAAATGTGATCGCAGAGCGGAAGGCAAGAAGGAACGACTCGCGAAGGCAGGCAATTCCGAGGAGAAAGATAAGAGGGAATTTTATGACTCGCAACTTATGCAAAGTACTTTTCATGACAACGGACCGAATCAAAGTCCTATCAGTCAAGTTGACGGCGGGCCCATCTTACCACCGCAAAGTGGAGAGAAGCCACTCGACAATGAAACTGTTAGGTTCTTGGAAGCGTTGCTGGAATTCATGGTTACTCAGGTATATAAGTTGACTTTTTATTATTCATTTTTCGTCGGAAAAATTTTGTTTTATGTACGTTACGGACATGCAAAAGGATTTATCTTATTTTTAAAATACATTAAGATTGATTAATTTTAAGAATTATTTCGTAATTCTTTGCTTATTATTCAGGTGGTGAAAATCGAATGGCGGGACAAATCTACACGGCAGCACAAAACTTTTCAGTTTTTACTAGAACGCTTTAAAGTAGCATACCTTCGTCACATTTGCCCGGAATTTGACGAGAACTTTTCACTTTACAAGCCCAATCTGGAATTACCCACAATGCGCAAACCGACGAATCAAAATCACGACAATTACGTGCTCTGTAAAGTGGCTTTAATCAAGTGGGTTGCAAACTTCACGCACGTCGCTAAAAAGGATGGACTCTTCGCACATCTCTCGCAAAGGTGACTACTTTGCATAAATTTACGTACAATACCTGCTGATTTGCATAATTTCAATCGATGATACAACCTCGAATTGTTTCGCAGCACAACGCCGAACGAGGAAAACGTCGAATCAGAATTGCGCCGTGTGTCAGTCACTCAGAACCCTAACGACTCGACTCTGTTGTCGCCCGAATCAGCCATATCGCAGCAAGATAGTCAGATTCAAGAAGACAGCACCGTCTCGGCGCTCATGTTAGTCAGAGACGTTTTATACGGAAATAGAGACAACGTTAACTTCGTGCACGAATTGTACAGACAGGCGTTCCTCCTGGATTTCAACCATGCGGGAGCTATAAGGAAGGCTATCGCTGTTTATAAAGATTGGATTCAAATGAATGTGAGCTTTGTAAGCATAAAATTATATATGTCGAACATAAATTATCGTTATTAGTATTATATTTTTGTGTACTTTGTAGGAAATCCCTCCGTTTATGCTGGAACCATTGGACGGTCACAAGGATCGAGATCTAGAAGAATATCAAAAAAGCGAGATGGAAAAGTTTCCTTCTGAGAATTATCGACAGACGAGGTTAAGGAATGATTCTTACCTCGGCGCTATACACCGGGAGAATTTATTCATCAGAGCGGGCTTGCAGAACGTTCTGCAAGTCTTCATCACGCAAGCGTCGAATGTATTTTTCTTGGAGAACTCGGGGCCGAGCGCGTCTCCAACGTTGCTTGAGGAACAAACGGACAGCTGCAAGAGAGTGTTGAACGTGTATCGATACGTTGTTATGCACTCCAGATTGGAGCCAGCAACTTGGGAACAGCTACTCAGGTGCGTTCGTGATTTATTATTTTACATCGTTTTTCTTTTTTCGCGACGGTTCATTAAAATCGTTCTGCTTCATTCAGAGTGCTGTTGCAAATTACATCGCTTGTACTGAGCGAGAAGTCCTCCCGCCGCAAGCAGCAGGACACCATCGGTGGCAAACTCGCGCCTGCCATATTTCAGACTCTAATTGTTACGTGGATTAAAGCCAACTTAAACGTCGTTATTTCCACCCAATTATGGGACCAGTTTCTAGAAGTGTTGACGTCGTTAACGCAATGGGAAGAATTAATTCGAGAGTGGGCGGTGAGAGGCAATTAATATCCCCTGAGCGCTGACTCACACACGCTTATGAAATATATATATATAATATTGTTTTATATGCTTCTATATATAGAAAACTCTGGACACGCTAACGAGAGTATTGGCGAGGCATGTGTACAACTTGGATTTAAACGATCTACCCTTGGACAGACTTAGCGAACAGAAATCAAAGAAGCGCCGCGGCGTCGGAAGTCGCGCGGCGTCGACCGGAAGCGTGCAACCGCCGCGGAAAGGTAGCGAAGAGAATAACACCGCGCCGAAAGAGAGCGTCACAGGTGAATACAAAATATATACATACATATAATATCTTATCGCAATTACACTGGTTTAATTAAAATGTTTCTGAACGTCCACCAGATCATCCGCTGCGCGATATAAGGAAAGTGCGGCCGCTACCGCGCAGCGCGAGCGACAACAACATATACAGTAGCAAAGCTCGCACGAAGATACCTCGACAGCGAACGCACACGATACACAGCGGCATTCCTGGTAAGAGAATGCGGCGTGGTCGGCCGTTTTGGTTTTCATTTCTCGGAATTATGGTGAGATCTTGCAATTCCCTCTGTGTCGCTGTGACAGTGTGCATTTATTTATAACTGTGTCCCTTACGTGTTTTTTTATTTGCTTTGGCGCTGACATCGAGTCGAAAATAACTCCCCTGGTAACCATAACGTACGGACCGCAGTTTCGCATCATTCTCTCGCGGATCCACCACGTTTTGTAACCATGCGCTTGCTCTAATTTGACATGCCGCCCATGAGATCGATTTTAACCCGAGCGACTCGCCATTGAACACACATCTCCGCATTGTTTGTCTTACTTCTCGATTAAGTGTAAACAATTTCCGCACGTGCAGTGCTCCCCCTATCGATAGAACAAGATATGGCACGGTTACTGTCGAGTGGCTCGACTTCGTCGTCGGCGGCCGGTCGGAAGATGCTGCCCAGCAGACGTGCGAAATCGTTGGATAGCATTGTTATAGTCGATAGCGAGCCACCGTCGCCGCGATGCCCGTCGCCGACACCCAGCAGTGGCGTTGACAGCAACAAGGATAGCCCGATACAGATAGAGAATATTGATGGTAGCAGCATTGGTATGTACGGACTGTCACATTATTTATACGATGCGTATGAAAATTTGTCATTTACCAAGTGTGAACACGTTGACATTTCCGGAACAAAGTTCTTACATCTTGTTTTTACATTAATCATCCTGTGACATTTCATATTAATCGAATGATGTCGTTTTAATTAACAATACACTACGCTTCGATGACCGCTCGTGCAGTCAAGGCGAGAATTACGAAGCACAATTAATTAAAATATCTCTTTAATTAAGCCTACGCTTTTTTTAAATATTTCGCTTCCCCGTCGGTTTATTAAACTCTGTCGTGTGTTAAGCTTGTGATAATTTTTCTTGTTGCGCAGAAAATACGAAGCTTAACTATGCAATTTCATGAACTATAAATAACAATTGTGTCATTTAATAATATATATATTTGATTATAGTTGTGCCCTCGCATATCTGAAGTCGACATGTATATCTGACAGTCGTTATTATTCCGCAGATACAAACGACGCGTCTGAAAGAAGATCAGTTATGGCAGGTGGAGGGGTTCGTGGATGGTTGCCAGATGTGGCTGTCGTTTTATGGCGGCGTATGCTGTCGGCCTTAGGAGATGTCAATAACATCCACGATCCTGTTTTGCACGGCCAAGTCATGGATTACTTCGTGCAGCTCACACAAACGTTGATCAAGGTAAGAATTAGCTAGCTTCCGGAAAGAAGATGTTGTTTAAATCTTGTTGTAAAGATAGCGGCCAAGATTATTTATGTTAGTCGACTCATTATATTATTTACCTAATTGTTATCTAGATTCGCTTAAATCAAGGAGTATCCGGGGATAATCAGGCGACGCCTCCGGCACCGGAGTTAATTCCACCTCTAACAGTCATCGCACCGTGGTGTTTTAAGGTACATACGCGCATGACATAGAAATGTCGTTTTCCGGTGTTCATTTCCGGTGTGTATTTCTTTTTCGCAGGCGATTCAACTTCCGGAGCAATACGAAATCGGCAAACTAGCCGCGTATCGTCTCATATGTCTCTTGACGATACAACCGCTGGACATCAGTCTGCCGAAACAGCATCTGACGCTTTTCTATCGCGCCGTTCATAGCGGGATCGCCAGCAACGACAGCAAAGTTCTGCACGTGCTTGTGAAATACACAGGACCCAGATTGTTCAGCCTGAATCTGCCGGGATCGAGCCTTCTGATTCTGGACTACATTCACGCCGCTAACGTGATACTCAGCAGTCAGGATGTCGAGGTATTCAACGTTTGCATTCTTCTTTCGATTAAAATTAATTTACGCAGTCGGTCTATTCTTTAATTATTTTCTCCACTCTTAAAAAAGGCATGAAAGATCGATACTCGAATGTATCGAAAGTATTGTTGACGCTTTTCCGCGACACTGATTGGTTATCTCGATTATTCTGACAGTTTGATAGTTTGAGAGCGAAGGTTATTTTGACAGTTATTTAAAATAAAGACAATTTTATTAAATCTTTATATATTTTTAATATAACCTAAACTTTTTCCTTATACTTTGTCTAATTGAGGAAGGTCCAAAATTATGGTTGAAACATATTTGTTACGTTAATTTATTAATATTTTGCGCTTTCGGCTTTTCTTGCCTTTTTTACTGTTAAAAATCCAATGTATCTTTTTAGTATACATTTTTATACTATTTTTTTCCAGGCACCCAGGACAGAGGCTGTTTCTATCATCGGCTCATTGTTGTCGATGCCTATCGGAACGATCAAACTGCCGCTGCTACAACCGAACGGGCCCGACATCGTAACTATGACATGTCCGGAAGCAAAGGTGATACGATTTTTGTACGACACAATTCAATAACTGATAGATCTTGTAAATTTTATGTGTGTTGTGAACTTTGCAGGAGCATATCGTAACGATACTTTTGCGGAGCTGCCGACGAGAACCAACCGGGATAGCGAGATGCGTGGCCCTATCGAGCATCGCGATGTTCGCGTACAAAGAACTGTCTTACAAAACGCAACATCCGAGAGTTCCCGAAGCTGTCACCGTTCTTCTTCTCGCACTTAGGGTGAGCGCAAGTTTTCCCACGTTCAACTGTAAATCCTTATCGCATTACACGTCGTTGAGAGACGAATATACGAGATCACAAGCAGCTACAAACGCACAGATTTCAAATAGAAACCCGTAGCACTTTGGACATAGAATGCATGACATAGAGAAAACTGTTTCCCTACGATTTTAGTTGCTTGATAGTTCGCACTTGGAACATTGTCTTAAGTTAAATTGGTATTATGTATATTTATCGCGCGAGACGCAACCCCGCTGCTATCCGTGAATGTATACTTACGGGTGACATTCCATTTAACGATATCTAAGCTAAAGCGAAGCAGGTGTGTTGCGATAGTAGTAAGGTGAAAGCGAATATCTCGTTCACTGAGTGTCATTGGCAGCGGATGCAAGGAGCAGAGCGTCGCAGAGCTGGTTTCTGTTTTCCCCTAATGGATCAGGTAGTCCTTCCTTTTTTTTAATCTGCCTCAGTAAAGCTGTGTCGGCCGTTTATCATGTGATGTTCACAGTTTTGGACTGATACCTGCGCAACTTTTGAAGATCTCTTTGACTTTGCATGGCCTACTTTGCTATGTGTGTGTTCGAAATAATAAATCGTTTCAGCCTGCGATGGTGTCCTTGTATCAGACTTTCCGTAACCTGCTAAATGAGCAAACTGTCATTTTATATGTCACTAACTAGATGTGTTGATAATTATTGAAATATAGGTAACTCTCGTGCAACATAGAAATTTAAAAGTAAACCAAATCTTATTTCACAAAAATTTATTACATGATTAATATAAAAGTTTTCAGATTTTTATTCAAAAAATCAGAAAAAAGCTTTTGTTTCAAAGACCTTTAGTGATTTAAAACATTTATTTTTATAGAATTTTTTTATATATTTTCAACTATAATAGCACACTACGGAGACAGGCTGTCATTGACAACGTTGTGTATTTTTACTTTTAATAGTGTGTAATTTTTTTTTATTTATTGCAGTAAATTTAATAAAAAAGTTGCCAGGTTTAGACATACTGTACCGTGTTAAATGATAGCTCCTGCTATAATTTTCAGATTCTATTATATCAAAATCACATACGAGGATTACCTATGTACAATTTTTACCGATCGGAAGTTAATTGACACACAATGATTACACCGATCTTCTATTTCCAGGCCTCGCACGCCACGGTTGCACAGGTTGCGTGCGATTCTCTGTTACTTCTCTGCGATAAGGCCGACGTGCTGCTAGAACTGTATCCCAGTGTGCCATCTAAGATAATACAAGTACGTTCTATCATATGATTCAATTTAAGGAGAAAAGTAACGAGATTTGTATTCTTCAACATTTAGATTTTGTCGGATACACTTGGGCGAATGACAACGCGGGAAAGACGCGGGCCTTTGACAGTGTCGATGCTGTTCTGCTTGGGCGAGTGGGCTATGCATTTAGGACCAGCGGTATTACTGCAGGTGTTCCACGGGAAGCCGCTCTTGATGACCTTATTTACAGTTAGTATTGTACTCTCTTAGATCCCACACGCCACAATTTAGTTTCTCAGTTTGCACATCGTTCAATTTTATTTCGTAGGTGTTGAACAATATAGTGCAGAACAAAGTGGGGAAGGAATTTTCAAGAACCGCTAAGAATCATGAAGAGGACGACGATTTTGATCTGAACATTATGCTGGATAATCTGGTCGACGAGCCTTCCTCAAAATCACCGCACAAAGGAAACATTCAGTCCGTGCAGTTGGCAGCAAAAATGGTAAACTGTTGCACATGAGTATATATAAAAAAAGACTTGAAGATTTTTAATAATATTAAAAATTTATGACACTAAAACCGTGCTTACGAGTTGCTTGCTTGGAAAAATTAACTTAACCTAATTGAATAAATTGTCTATTAGGCCAACGCAAGTTCTAACGCTTTAACGATATTGATTTGGCATTTGAATGAAAACTTGCAGACTCAACAGCCTATTTATTCAATTATTATTATTACAACAATGGCTTTATAAAATTCAAAATCTATTGTTTATTTAACTTGACATTTATTTCGGGCGCAGGTGATGATGCATTTAATCAACCACCTCGGACACTTTCCGATGGGAATCGGTGCCGCGCGTCTCTCATCGCTGGTCGTCGAGCTGGACGACGTTCCCGGAATCGACGGGGACGAGTTGTCCTCCGCCGTTTTCCAAGCGCCTAACATACAGCTGTTGATGCTCTCTAACTCGATCATAATGTCGCTGGTGGAGTTGGCGGCACTGGACGCGCCTGGCGGAGGAGTCACGGCCGGCTTGACCACGGCTCCTTCCTTGGTCAGAGTTTTGCTGCGAGATCTCGCTGGCAAAGCCTCTTGGGACAGTTCGATCTTATATAGCCAACCCTTTGTCGACGACGATCTACCGCTGCCATTTGCGAAACCTGGTAATTAATTTATGCAAATAAATTTGTGTAGCAGTTTTTCGACAATGAAAACAAACTAATATGAATTCTCACCATTTGTTTCAGTCGACTGGAGTGCGAAGCTGCATGTAGATGACTTAAATAGCGTTATCACGCCTCACAACTGTACACCCAGACACACGATACGGCATCGCGAGCCTCACATATTGCCGACTTTCGCAAACGCCGCGAGCGATATGGACAATTTGGATGACGTGAGTGAAAATTTAAGATTAATCATTAAGGGGATCCTAAAGTGGTCTGTTTTACTTATTTTTTTCAAATTACTACTTTAACTTTTTTTGGTCTTGTGTAGAATAAAAGTCCTTTCTGTAAGTAAGTACATATGCTAATACACTACGGAGTGGTCGTATTAGAAGTAATTTATAACGCCACGCACGAACCAAAAAAACGTAAATTTACGAAAAATAGAAGGTAAAACAGATACGTCTCTGTTTTACCATCTATTTTTCGTAAAATTCGTTTTTTTAGGATCCCCTTAAGCGTGATCTGATGATGAGATTAGCGCTAGAGAATCCTCGTATGTCCTCAGCTCCTTCAATACATAGGACACACCAGTCCGGAAGTTTTGACTAACCCGGAAGTCGCTCTCAACGCGCCTGCTAACCCACCTCAGGGACACTATCTCGAAAGCGAGACGATTGCGACGATTTTGAATCAAAGGAACGTGGAGCAGGAGCACATCAACAACTGGAGTCAGCACATCAGGTTGCGTACTCCTTCGTATTCCAGCTATTTTGTAGAATATTAATGAAAATTTCGTTTCTACAAAATTGCATCACCGACAGTCGCAACATCAGTCGCTGAATTTTAACGTCGCGAATCTCGATTTGCAGCATGAGCGCATCGGCAATCAGCCCGCCGTCGTGTCGCCCGCCGCCGGCGCCGTTTCACCACTGCCGCCTTCTGTTTTCGCATCTCGGCCTGTCCGGCTGGGAGCAACGGAGGAAACTGCATTTGCTGGCGAAAAACGAGAAGCTCTTGCGCGAGCTGCGCAATCTTGACAGCCAGCGATCCAGAGAGACACACAAGATAGCGGTGATTTACGTCAGCCAGGGCCAGGAAGACAAAAACTCCATACTAAGCAACGTCACTGCCAGTAAGGAGTACGAGAGCTTCATCGCGCGACTCGCCTGGGAGGTCGAGCTCGAGTCGCACACCGGCTTCCTCGGCGGCTTAGTGCCCGGCAAGGCGTCCGGCGTCACCGCACCGTACTACGCCACGTCCTTCACCGAAGTTCTCTTTCACGTTGCCACGAGAATGCCATCGGACAGCCCTGAGAGTTTACTGCAAAAGGTAACGATGCACGTTATTTTAGCGCGGCCTTCTTCGCCTCCTTGTTTAGATTATTTAATTGTCGAAGCACGCATAATTTTTATCTCAATTATATTTGCCTTTCGGCGGATATTCATAAAGCATTTGATTTTAGACGCGGCATCTCGGCAACGACGAGATCCACATAGTCTGGTCGGAGCACTGGCGGGATTATCGCAGGGACATCATACCAACGGAATTCTGCGACGTTCTGATAGTCATTTATCCGCTGAAAAACAAGCTGTATCGAGTACAGATTTCGCGGAAGTCGGAGATTCCATTCTTCGGGCCGCTGTTTGACGAGTGTATCGTGGAGGACAAGGTGTTGCCGGGTTTGGTGAGAACGACTGCGCTGGCCGCGAGCAGGGCGAAAAGGTCTACGCTTACATTGTACCAACATTAGTAAGTCATGAATTCAGTTCTGTTCATAAATCACGATATTGCGAGAAGATTGTTGCACTGGAAAGATCTATAAATAATTTCAGTTACGAAGAGAGAGCGCGATCCATCGATACTGTCATGAGAAATCACAAGGAAGCCACGACGTTCGAGGAGTTCACGGCCAACGTTTACTCGCCGGTACAACCGCCGAGCCCGTTCAGCGGAGCTTCGTCCGTCTCTGGTGCGTGAATTTCAATATAAATTTAAAAATTTTGATATTTAGTTCGTTTTTTTCTCCGTTTACGTACGCGGTGTGCAAAAAAAAAACTTTTTACTTGTTATATTTTTTTGTGGAATTTGAAATTTCGTATGTCACGTAATACGACTGTGTAGAAGTTTATTATTATTGTTATTATTATCGATATCGCACTGTCAGGATCTACAACAAGCGTGCAATCCACAGCGTCGTCAAACCTCGCGGCAGCGCTTATAGATTCGCATCAGGGGCGTTCCGGTCTGCGCAGCACCTCGGCGGCGAGCAGTGACAATCGTGCGAATAGAGGTGACTAATTCAGTCCACTAACCCCCACCCACCTTGTAACACCACCAGACAAGGTAGTATTATTAGTTATTTATTATTTCCGTGCTGTTCTTCGAGCGTATTATCTGACATTGTATCCTACATCTCTGTCTATCTGTTAAGTATACGTCTGATCGATAAGCTGCGATGTCCATAGCGCATCCGCAACTACGTTGCGGATACTCTCGGATGTAAATCTTTTCACAAAGTGAAAAAGCACGTTGCAATTCCGTGTCCGATCTTTATGTTTTTTATTTGTTCTGTCTGTCCACAATAACAATACGTAAAATCGCAAGATTTAACACCTGCCGAATACAATATAAAGTAAAGAGAATTTTTCCAACAACTTTTTCTCCAACACTTTTGAATTCCAACACGTCTCTTAATTAACTTTTTGTTTGGCAGTCTTGCAAAATATATTCAGAGGTAATCTTTCCAATCTATGAGCACTAAAGATGGCATGTTCGAATATTATTATTTTTCTTATATGTGTTTTATATGCTGTTTTCTGAATATTGCTTAGCAGAAGAACATGATATTTGCAATTCGCAAAATATTAATGTGTTACTGCTGATACAATCTTCTCGACTGCACGCTTACTATTTCTAACGTCTCTGCGTTTTTCTCACACGATTCTTTACTTTGTGGCTAAAATTTTTTGTGTGGCTTTTCAATAATGATGATTTGCCAAGTTTATGCTAACAACGTTCCCGCGTTTGTTTCCAGTTTCTGACGGAAGCAGAGTGTGGTTTAGCAATGATATCCCCGACAGCACAACGCTTCACGGAATTTCACCGAGACCCGTGAAAAAGATGTCCTTTAAAACCGGACCAAAGCAGAGAGCTAACACACAATCTACTCCTCCAGATAGTCCGAGATACAAGTAGAAGATTTTTGTAGTTGTATGCCGGGAACACGGTTCTGCACAACTGATTGTCGGTGAACTCACTCGCCGAGCGTTGTACTTTAAAGAAGAAAAGAGAGAGGAGCTCTCCGGGGTGAAGCTTAGCGTAATTGCGATAGAGAATTCCGTGTACCTCGCGCGCGCGCGCGCGCGGCGTGGATGAGAGATATCAGTGATGCCTGGCAACTTGATACATTTTGCCGACCGATACATTTTATTCACAGCGAGGATCGAATATCCGATCATAGTCTTATAGCGTTTTCTGTTCTCCGTCCTTAGGTTTAATTTTTATATTAAATGTACAGATCGTTGTTTATTCGTTGCAACGTGAGCATTAATTTATTGGAAAGTAAATATATGATAAAATTTATCAAATCAATAGGCATTAACAGTTAGGTGTACTTGTCATAGACTCATCGGTGTCGAGAGAGAAAGAGAGAGAGACAGCGATTTACATTGTACAGCACTTTCTGGAGATTTAATTTTTCCTAGTACTTCGATAGCTGGAGCTAATTCTGAAGAAAAATTTCGATCTTAAAATCCGTATTAAAGAAAATAGCACATAAAACACTAACGTCAGAATGCTCTGCAGTACTGCTATATGGCCTTGTAACTATCTTATTTGTCACGATATACATATAGAAGATAGAAAAACTATTTTATTATTAATTGGCACGATAAATGTGTGTGTGCGGAAGGATTTACGATTAAATGTTACTCGCGGATGTAAAGCTTATTAGCTTGTATGTCGAAGTCATTCTAGATGTCGACGAATATTTGATAATTACATCAGTCTGATTTGAGACGGAAACGATAGTGATTATCGCAATTTAAAATGAAGTGATAAACAGCCATTTAAAAGAGAGAATTTAAATTACACATTCCATTGCGCGTGTATCACTTTTCTTTTTTTTTTTAAATTTACATTTATTTTATACTAATTAATCAATTACCGAGCCATTCCATTCGAACGTTCGTACTCATGATTTGATGGACGCGTCCAATTTTTATACACTTTATGTACAATGTATCAATGCGTGAGATCTCTCATTTTATTGAAAATAACATGAGGAGATCGCGAGCGTAATCGCCGAAACATTTTGTTTTCATACCAAAGTCGAAGGTGCTTAAATGTTTTATAATATGGAGCGGAATTGAATATTTCGTATAGTGACGGCAAAGGTAATCAGTCATCTCGCGGTGATTTAGCGAATTCTCGCCTTCGGGCGAGAAGGAAGAAAAAGCGAATTTGAAAGTAAATAATTTATTCTGTTTGTTGGAGATGAGTAATGGCTATTTGCTTTACACGAATCATCCTCATGCAGTGATAATAATCAAAGTATTAATGTTATCTATTACTATTAAACGAACGGCAGACTATAATACAGGATTATATTGTGGTAACGATCGATGCGTTCGAGACGAGATTTTTCTAGAAGTATACACTTCGCGCGATGATGAGCCGTGTACAATTAGAGTTTTTTGACTATTTTGAAGACTACCATGAAAACACATTCAAAAGTGTAGGTGTTAGCAACGAAGATATGTAGTTAATAATTACCGATGCGCAGATCATGGCCAAAGCAGCATTATTTTTTCACTAATTTATAATGAGATAGAACGGGGAAGCTGTGTGTATGTATTGTATATAAATTGTTAAGCATACAAAATGATTCCGGAGTTATTTAAGATTATTCCGAATGTATGTCATGTTATATCGCTACATTATTAATATATGATATATATGATTGAATATATATATATACACATGCAGTATATAAAGTTCATTTATTATCAGCATATGCAAAAAATGCTTTTACTGATTGTATTTAAACGTTGTACTTAATTTAAATACTTTCGTTTGTATTGTTAACGCTATTGTGCTATTATTTAACTCGTTTAGATACGTTCGTATTGTTGGAACATCGCCGAAGTATCTTTTTATATTGTATTTAGTTCTGGTTAGTTCTGGAAGAGAGCGAAAGATTAGTATAAATACGTAAAAAAGTAGTAAGAAAATGAAAAGAATTTTTTTGCTGAAGGAGTAACTAGAATAATCTATTTTTTTTTAAAAAAGAGCGAATATCCAATGAAGTAAGAAGCCTAAAAGAACGCAAACTCGTTAATTTCATTGAGTAGTGTTTTTTTGTACAAGAATAAAATCGTACTATATTTATCTATATGTAAAGATATTGCAGATGATTACAAATATCTTATAGAATTAACATGTAATGATCTTATATAGCATTTCTCCATTTGCAAAAAAAAATCGATTATTTCCAAGAGTTAAGAATAAGGCATGTATTTAAAATGTCTTACAATCCTGCGAATCTATATTAATATAAAACAGAAGAGAATTAATATTAATATATATTTATTATTTTCTACAGAAAGCTGCGAAGCTAAATGTATATTTGTCCGATTATCTTTCTATCTATGTAAAATTAATCGTAATGTATATACACATAAATAACTTCGTTCAGCTCGTCGAAGAGCAATTATATATTTTATTCATACGTATAATTCAAACGTGAAATATGTAAGATTCGTGGAAATTTGAGTTTTGTGGTCATCAGTTGTATACGGTATCGATGATATACTTTTTAACGTGAAATACAAACGATTTTCTTGCACAAACTCTAATCGATTCTTCAAACTTAAACAATCTTGTGCGGTACAGCCGCTTCGATATCTGTACAGCGTTCAAAGGTGTTCAACAAATCTTATTCTTCTGCCACAGAAATTTTTTGTCCAAAGATATCTCTGCTATTACATTAATTGTACACATCTCTGTAATGGACTGTACATTTTACTGCACAATAAAATTGTGATGAATTATAGCAAGTGTTATTAAAATGTTATTTTTACTTATTAATAATTTAATATGTAAAGTAAATTGTATACTTGATTCCATAATTCGCAACTGCGATCAGAATAATACATCAATGAGTTTGGAATCAACTTTTGCTTGGCAAGTTGTGTATTGAACTTTGTTATAATTGCGTCAATGATTTGTAACATTCAATAACAGTCTATAAATAGATATATGTGTACAAAAAGAGAAAGGAAGAGAGAAAAAAAGGTAAAGAGGGAGATTTTATGAAAACCTATTTAAAAAAAATAATAACAATGAAAGAAGGAAAGCAGTTTGATCATTATAAAATCACTACTTTATTTTATTTATTAGATGGGTTAATTATTGCATTTTTATTCATATCGTGCAACATTTTTTATTTATATTAGGATGTCCTAACATCTTTAGATCAGTCGGTACACTTACCATCATGTACAGTTGTTATGTTGTTTTAGGTAACCAAAAGATGGCAGCACTACTCCTAATCATCACGTGCTCCTGTTAACATTTTTTTAAAAACCTCTGAAAAAATGGAGCGTAAGAAAAGAGAGAAATAGTACGTCTGCTCTTTTCTAGGGTGAGTTCCACTTGGCGATTGCAACGCTCTTAGAATCATTTTATCCTCGTTTAACTTTCGATGAAAAACAAGGATAAAATGATCCTAGGAGCGTTGGCTAGTGTCCAAAGCTAGCCGAAGCGCGGAGTTGACATTGTGCGCTTGCGCATCTGTGCGGTATTTTCTCCCTCATGCTGCTTGCGTCTCAATCTGGCGTCACTAGATCTGTTCTTTAGAGCTGAACTGGCCGCACTAGTTCAGAGTTTATCTTGTTCATCTTTTTCCCTCCACATTGGAAGGAGCTACACATTGATTCTTGTGGAAAAGGCTCAGTCTAGTATATTATAGCTCATTGACACCAGAGGGAAGCCTGAGAGGGGCCATGCCGTCATTTTTCATACGACGCTTTCTCTAGGCCGTGCAGTAGCGCTAATAGGACACCAGCTGATAACTGTTATCGACAACAAGACATATTGTTAAGGCTTGTCCAGATGAATTAACATAATCGAACAGAGCGATATACATTGAAGTCAACCAATTACACGTCTCAGAAAAAATATTGCCGTCCAACGTAAAAATATTGCCCGATTATAGTATTTTTTGCAATTGACGATAGTGACGAGCTAATTTTTAATTAATACGGTCGCGCATGTGTATGTAGCTTGGTATTTCGCCGTGAATGCTGCAGGTATATCCCTCGCAGGCGCATTTTACGAGATTGCCTATGTTTTATATACATTGTCAGGCTTGTGTTTTCAGAATTGATCTCAATTATAGTTATCGAAAATCCGCAGCATGACGGTGCTCGTTAATCGCACCTGTGCTCTCTGAACATTGCCATACGACGAAAATAACTGTTGTAGGCAGCTCGACAACGGCGTAAAATTGCAGCAACGAGAAGATCACGAAACATCCTATCTGTTTGACGCGAGCTGTAAGTTCTGCATAATTTATTCGCACACTGTGACATCCGAAATGTGCCGTTAAAACGCCGTTAAACGCCGTTAAACGCCGTTGCGATTAATATTTTTTGTTAGTGTATTTACGTTCTAATTGCGCGCATTTGTTTTGCAGTTTCTAGAATTCGAGTCACTTGACCGGAAATTTCAGCTGACGAAACGCGTGAGAGGTTAGACAGTATGTCAGTGTATCTTGTGATGCGTGACGAGTATTAATCGAGAAATTCGTCGCAGATACGCGGAGACATGATTTTCGATATTCGGAGATTGCGAGTATTCGTGAGAACCAAATCACGGATTCGAGAGAAAAAGATTGTTAATTGAAACAGTGCGATAGAGGTGTATTATCGGAAGCAATGTACGGTGTTGTGGCGCGTACATGCTTTATTAAACTGCCAAAGATTGTAGCATACTAGTTCCTGCTTACACAGGCTTGTCAAAGCGGTATCCGGGATATCGTCACCGAGAGTGTGATGAGTTGCAAAAACTTCGGCCGGGGAAGAGGCTTTGTGCCACGAGGTACACGTGGTTCGTTCAGACCTCAATTTCCAGCTCCATTCTTTCGACATGGGTGTCCACCGAGGCCAGGGCGTCCTGCGCCATTCAACATGCCCTGGCCACCTAACCATAGGTTCTTTCCGCCGCACATGTTACGTGGTAATCCACAGTTCAGGCCACCAGGTGGTAGAAAAAAGAGATTCTACAACTATGACGTTCGATTTCCTGCTCCCAACACGGTGCCTGCGCCTCCAGAGTATGAGGAAGCTGCTTACGAGGTCCCACCGTATTGGGATAACCCGCAGGTGGAGAACAATCAAGCAGAAGCTGCGCCGCAACCTCCTTTACTCGGCTCTGAAGAGGAGCGACAGCGGAAGATAGCTGAAACAGCTGATCTATTGAAGCAAAAACTGTCTTGTATCAGTAAGAATGAGATGATAAATATTTTGACCGATGATGTGTCTAATAATACAGAGGACAACAGTGCAGAGAATACAAACATTCCTGTACACAGGTACGAACCGTCTGAGCTCATTTTAACGAACAGTGATCTTAAGGATATTGGAAAAGTAAATTCTGATAATTTAAAGTGTAATAGCACGCAACATTTAACGGATGTATCTAATGTTGTAAATAATATAAATAGGGATGTAATGTTAGACGAAAATAATGATGGATCTCAAGTAGAAATTATATTTGACGGCAATCAAATGACAAATTTGGTAAATGTACATAGTACTGAATGTATGGAGGAAGGAGAGCAGCGCGAGTTAGTTGACACGTCTCACAATTTAGAGCAATCAGATATACACCAAGATATCAACATCGAAAATGAATTATTAGAATCAAACGTTCAATGTTACAATGTACCTCTAGCTAATATTTCACAAGATCAATGTGAGCAGCAGCAGGATATCTCTCAGGTATGTGAAATGCATAAGATAGAACAAGACAAAATGTTAAAAATATGTTAAAAGTGTCAAAATTATCTAAAATACTGAATTTGCAGGAAACATCAGTTCCAATCGATTCAACAAATCAGGAGATTTTGCATAACTGTCAAGAGGAGCTTTTCATGAATCCAGAAGTTGAAAAGGACATCTTGTACGACAATTGTACATTGTTGCAGCCTTCATCAGCCAATGCACCAGTATTAAATGATGCTGCAGATAACCAATCGCCGAGAAAGCAAGACAGTTCCCTTCGCAGTGAACCGCCAGAATTGTCTCCGCACATTGAACAAGAATTGCCTGTTGATTTTGATCCAACCACACCGCCGCCGTTACTTTTGAAGCAAGATCCATCATACGCTTTGCCCCCGCTTCCCGATTTACCGCTGTTCAATCCGGCAGAACCGCCACCGAATATGAGACACCTCGAATCACAAGTATCTCATGAGAGTGCAAACTCTGCGTGGAGTAGCGTTCCAAATCCGATGCCAATTGCTTATAGCAATATGGAAGTGCATACGGAATTGAACATGCATGGAGGATTTGCGCCACAACAGTTACCATTAGAAGTACCCAACCAAAGTAACATCTTCATGCCTCCTCACGTCGAGACAATAAATTTTTCTCCGTTATATTCCGCACCACCGAGCAATAATGCGGGCATTAATACAAATATTTCACCGATGCGGCCTCAAATGCAGATGGTGCCTCAGCAAACTTTTGTACCTTTACCTTCTCCGCCAGAATCATCGACTTCTGATTTGCAACAAAGATTTGAAACTGATTGCAACAAGGACGACGTGTTGAACGATATGCAGGAAGCTATGAAATTTGCGAAGGAAATGACAGAAATAGTGGAGATGGATGAAAACTTTGCATCGACCTCCGAATCTCTTTTCGAAGGCTCGGCCTTGATTAATCCAGCTGGCGATATCACTTCTATAGCTCTGCCACCAGGAAAGCCGATAATAAAGTCCAAAAATTTCAAAAAGAAAAATCGAAGAGACTATAACAAACAATTAATATTCGCGAAGCAAAGCGGATTAAGCCATCTGCCGCCAGAAGATGCCGCAGCACAAGACGCCAATGCGAAGTCTAAGCAGGCGTCGTTGATGAACGAGCAGGATCGTCCTAAAGTAGTATTTAACTTGAATAACAAAACGAAAATGGTGAATGTTGAATGGGCCGATAATGTTAGCGAAGCGAGAGGCGAGAAGAGAAACGGCGCAATGCAATCTGACACGAAAAAATCAGCGGTAATTAAGAGAAATTTGGAAATGGAAAACAAATCGACGTGGAGTAAAAAAGAGGAAAGGAATTTAAGGAAGAGTGAAATTAATTCAGAAAATGCGACATTAACCGAATCAATTGGAAGCCAAGATGCCACGCCGTCTCATAAGAAAGCGGAGAAAAACGCCGAAAAATCGCATTCCGTCATCCCGTTTTGTCCGAAGATCAGTCCGCAGAAATCCAAGAGCCACGCGGAGAAGAGCGAGAGCTCTAATTCGGAGGCCTTGTGGAAGAACAAGATTGTCAAACAGTTCTTGAAGATGAGCAAGAACGACATCTTCAACATGGTGAACAATACTAGTCTACGGAAGTTTGATGTCATAATGAAACGTCTAGTCAAAGAGAAGAAGCCTACGCTGTTGTTGGAGATGAGGCACGCGCAGGACGAGAAGATGAAACTGTACGATCAGCAGAAGTTCATAAATCAGTTGGACATGCTGGACTTCGACACCATTGAATCGATCACGGATCTGCCCACCGAGTTCATTCATCATCTGAACGAGGTGTTACAGCTGGATATGCGATTTGACAATTACGACAAGTCGGCGGTAGCTTCGAGCAGTCATTCGGAGCCTGCAACTCACGCCGTTGCGGAGTGCGCGAGTGGAACGGCGGCGCCGAGCGGTGACGATGAAGAGTCCGCAGGAGGCAAGAGTCACGATAAGAACGCGACGTACGCAAGTACGGCGAAAACGAGATATGACAAGGACGCGCAGACGCATAGCGCGAAAAGCGACGAGCCCAATCTGACGGACGACATTTTCAGCACTGTCGCATGCAACAACGACAAGTTATTGACTCTGCAACACGACGTGGACAATATATTCTCCGAGGTGACGAAGAAGATTCAAGTGCCCGCGGCGGCGAAAGAGCGCAATCAGCCGGGCGCGCCGCAGCGAGGCGCGAAGAAGCTCGACGACGGCGCGGCGCAGAAGAGCGCGCAGAGCGCGCCGGTCCCGGAGGACGATGACGGGACGCGCAAATGGGAGGTGAACGCGCACTTGCTCGAGAAGCGATGGAAGAGAAAGGAGCGGGAAGACCCGCGCGCGTACAGAAATCTCACCAAAGAGGAATGGGAGGCGAAGTACGGGACGCAGGCGAGCTGCAGCTCGACGTCGGTGTCCGCGCTTTCCGTCGCGAAGAAGACCAACGCCGGCAATAAAAGTGCGTTGAAGCGTGTGCGCGGTAGGAAGATTCTTCCGCGACGCCGTCACTCGTCCGAGTCTTCGAAGCAGCCGGGCGCGAGGCGCAGCAGGACTCTGGAGGAAGACAAGCACAAAGAATCCAGGCGACACAGCGACGACAGGAGGCACACCGCGGTGTACGCGGAGGGCGCTCGGCTCGTTCGCGACAACAGCAACGACAGCAGGAGCAGCAGCAGTAGCAGCAGCAGCAGCAGCAGCAGCAGCAGCAGCAATAGCAATAGCAGCAGCAATAGCAGTAGCAGCAGTAGCAGCAGCAGCGACAGCAGAAAGTTGAAACTGTTGAGGAAGATAAAAGAAAAGGAGAAGGTAGCTAAAGAAATGTCGCTGAACGAAACGATAAGGGACGAGGTGAATGCCGAGATACAGCGGGAGCGGAAGCAGAGGTCGAAGTCGCGAAAGAATCGCAGCAAGAATCGAAGGGAGAAGAGGACGCATCGCAAGAAGAAGAAGAAGCAGAGCAAGAAAGCGTCGACCTCCTCCGAATCCTCGTCGGATAAGGACAGCGATGACGGGGCGGCTAACAAATTGCTGACGGAAAGCGAGATTAAGAAAGAGAATGAGGTCGATCAGCGTGTGATGATCAAAGAGGAGCTCGACATCAGCCAGGAGGGGATCGTCGCGAACCCCGAGCTGGCGAATATCCCGAGTCGCGCGGCAGTGAATTTGCCCCCCGAGCCTCGCGACACATCGAAATCTCCACCACCTCCCCCTCCTCCTCCTCCTCCTCCGCCATCACAGGAGACGACGACTGTCGGTATCGCGCAATTACACACTGAAGACAGAATGCCGTCGGTGTCGCCGACGCAACCGAAGACGAAGGCGCAGCTGAAGCAAATGCCGGAAACGGCCGATATGAACGACAACAAAGTTCCTCTGAATGTGTTTACAAGCCTGCCGAAGGATTGGAACACGATTAATCCGGCGATCATCTCGGCGTGCATAGAGAATAAATCTTGCGAAGTGAGCGACATCAATCGAGATAAAATCGAAATTTCGCCATCGGCGATCGACGATTCTGCGAGTAGCAGCACGGCCGATGCGAACGTGTCGCGCGAGTCCACCGTCGAGACAGCGTCGCCGCAATTAAATGCTCTTATCGAACAGCTTCCCAGCGTTATAAACACGCGAGACGATAATAAAACGCCCGTATCTGACGTATCGAATAAAGTATCAACAGTCAGTGCTACGTCAGCGTCGGCGTCGGTGTCGGCCACCGCAAATACCTCAACTCAGAAGCAAGGCACCTCCAAGAAGATCGACATAAAAACGTATTACGAGCGCACGATACAACGTCGTATGAATGGACAAGGAGAGTTGAAGAAACCCGCGGAGAGTCCCGCAGCGCCGGCGGAAAATTTACCGACGAAAAGTTTACCGACGAAAATCGCGAAGCGGGAAATTACGATTGACAAATCCATTCGAGATCCGCGCTTAATCTCGCAGACGGTAAAATTAGCCGGCAAAGATATCGTCGCGCCGACGACGTCGGAAAAAGACGCTCGGCGGGAAGATAAACAAACGACGAAGGAATCGCGCGCGGAAGTCGCAGCGTTGAAACATTCTAAGGAAGATTCGAATCGCCTGATCAATACCGCCGGCGGCGCTAAGAATGTCAAACAAAATCCGAGCGCCAATGTGATATCCAGTGTTGCAACGACATCGTCGAGACTCGAGAAAAACTTAAATGTCGAAGGAAGTGCAACTAAAAAATTGCAGAGCAAAGTTTCGACCGATTCTAAAAGATTCAAGAATATTCGGTCGGAAGGGAGCAAAGAATTGAAACTGAAAAAGGAAACGACGAAGAAGCAAAGGGCGAAAAAGAGGTCGGTGATAGCGCCCACCAGCCTGGTTTCGCCGAAAGTCCATTATCCTTTGAGGGAGCCGGCGACGACGAGAGATGCGGAAAAAGTCGTTCAAGAGAAGAGCACCGATAATATCAATTGGAGTAAAGTGGACGTTGAGCGGACTGTGCACTCGACAACTCCTCGCGAAGATAAAATAGATAATAGTAACGCTGAAATAAAATCACCGACAATTTCTCTAAAAAACACTGATAACGACAAATCGCCGCATCATGAATCAAAAGAACATTCTTCGAAATCGGACTTTGTTAAAGAGGCGGATACCAAAGAGGCTGCAATTAACGTCGAAGGCGCCAATGCGCGTGAACGGTTATCTCCTGAAATGACGCGCAGCGTAGAGTATGCGAATGATGCAACGAGTATCGCGGAAGATGAAAATGCGGACGAGATTTCTAACCTAGCGCCGGAACTCGACGCGCCGATCGTTTCTGCAGCCATCTCTGAAATCTCGAATGATATTGAAAAAATAAGCGAAGCGGATCTCTCAAACGAGATTCGGCAATCTGCGACCGAGGACGTGGACCCCGCGTTAAGTCACG